GGATTGTATCAACTCAGCGAAGCTCTACTGAAGTGAAACATAAATCTGTGGATCTGTGTTTGATTACTCTGCCTGGCTTTCTCAAGGACCAGGATGTGTGACACAAAAATCTGAATTTTGGAACTGAAAGTGAAAGCAGTCAAATTGAATTTTTAATAAACCAAAACACAGTTTCAAAGCAAATTAATTCAGATACAAAACTTTAAATTCAGTTTCAACTTAGTGAAATTAATTTTCAAACCAATGCATTCAATTTCAAATTATGCAAATACAGATTCAATCTGAGCAACTGAAACTCAATTCCTGCTGGGACAAGATTTATCCCATAGACCTTGTCTTTATTCTAAGATATTGCCCGTCTCAACAAACTATAGAAACAACCCCTACTACAGCATGTTAACATTGAATATGCTAATTAAATAAAACATGGATCCACAGATATCACAGGTGCAAACAACCATTTTCTACACCTCACTCCAGTGCAAAACACAAGAAAATTATTTTCTACAACAGCTATTGCCAGTTTTGAAGTTTTAATTTTAAAATGTTTTTCTTACCGTCTGTAAGGCGGGATCTGAACGAACTGGCTCCGGGCAGCAGGGAGTCCTTCGGGTCAGATGGGGTGCAGTGCAATAGGTAGTACTCCAGGTGGCGCCACAACACAAATAAACTAGTCTCAATGACGTCTGAGGAAAAGGTAAGTTAAGGCATTTCTTATCCGCTTGATCTAATATTTCTACACTTCAGAACACAGGAATTATAGACTAATGATAACAAAGTTGGAGTTGATGCCATAAGGTTAGGATACAGGAGCACAGAGCCAGCAGCTTGGCTCGGTTGTTGATAAGTTGGACCAGTCGTCTTTTGGCAAGCAAGCTCCTCTGGATTGAAGAGATTTTCTCCACCCCTCCTGGACCGGACACCAGGCCTTGGCACAACTAGAAAGAGAGAATAGGATTAGATCAAATACACTGWACTGCCTAAAAGAGACAAGATATAACAAAAATCTATCTTTCTGTGTTTGAAAATATATTTGAAACCAACCATAAMACCCTACAGAAAGGCACAACTCTGCTCTTCTGTCAGAGCGCTCTTTGGTTTGAAAATATGGAATTCAGGGATTTTGTTAGATTTCTAGATGAAGATGATATAGTTTTACTTGCTCACTTGTATTTTTTTTTATATGTATATAAAAGCAGTTTCATCAGTACCTCTTTGAGCTCTTCTGGAGGCAGCTGATCCAGGTTCTGAAGTTTGCCCAGGTTTTGTCTGTGACTTTGGTGGAACTGAAAGAACTCTGCAGCACTGTTCTTCAGCAGGTACAGCACCAGACCCAGGCTAGGCATCCGGGAGTGAGCGATTGACGGCAGAGAAGACGAGAGATCTGACAAGACAAAAACAAATTTGGAGTTGTTTTTTTCTGAAAGATCAAAATTACACAGAGACTTAAACGTTCTTGGATGTTGAAGTTGATTTGTATTGGAGCACTGAAAGATTATTTTAAATAGAGGATGAGAAGTTCTTTTAAAATGGTAGAAAAAAAGAGGTATGTTTCACAATCAAGCAGGGTTCGACAAATCCTATTGCCCGACTGCCCGGGGTAGGTAAAACTCATATTCGGGCAGGTGGGTGTGTCCCGATGCCTGCCCAACAGGGCAGGTAAACAATATTTATTTTTTTATAGGTCCATTTATTCAAAATATTCTGAAAATAAATGAAGAAATATAGCGTTTTAAAACACGTATAGAGAGAATAAATCCTCAAAATTTCCCCCTCCTGCTGTAGAAAAGTTACGTCGTGTC